TTACTGAAAAATGCAGACTTTGTTCCTCAGAAGATCACCACCCAGAAAGGTGATAAGCAGTGAAAAGGTGGCTGACGATAGCTAAGGCCAAGAAATGGACTTCTGGTTGGCTGCTTTGGAGGCACTCTGCAGAGACCAGGCATTTGCTCTGGGTCTGAAAAAAGGGACTGAAATTGAGGTGTGTGTGCGTGAGAGAGAGAGAGATAGGGACAGAGAGAGAGAGAGAGAGAGAGAAAAGAGTGTTGCTAAGTATCCTAGAAAGACAAGGATGAGGAGCAAATGGAAGGAGCAAAGGCAGGAGGATGGAAATGTAGTGAAAGATTCGTGCATCACTGTGAATACATCTCATTTGACTAATGTTTAAAGTTTGGAAAGGATTTTTATAGTGTATCTAATTTTATCTTCTTGATAATTAGGAGATAGAGGCAAGGATTATCTCTGTTTTACAGATGAGAAAATTGAGGCCCAGACAATGTTACTAATTTCCCTAAGCTCACACAGCAAGTGACAAAAGCATGACAGGAACCCAGTCTTTCAGATTCATATCCTCTATTCTCTTTCTACCACCCTCTAGTTACTGCCAAGGGTCAGGAAATTGTGGGAAAGTAGTTTGGAATAGGACCCCCCGGGGGGCGGGGGAAGAACTGAGCGAGCAGGAATTTGAATGTGGGGCTTGAGGAGTAGGGGGCAGGGCGTTCTGAAGACTACTGAGTAAAGCTGAATGTTTTGAAGATCACCCCAGTAATGAGGTGGAGGCCCCTGGAGGGGCAGGCCTGGTCTAGAATGTGAAAACATGACCTGATGCAAGGAAGAGCTGAGGACCAGGTGAGGCAAAGATGGAAAGGATGGGGAAGGCTTCACCGGGGAGGGAGCTGAAATTACAAACATGAGAAGCTGCTGGAGGCAGTGTGGAAAGGGGAGAAGGAAACTAAGATCTGTGTGTGTGAATCCGTGTGTAGGGCTGTAGCGGAATGTTCAGCTGGACACCTGCCTAGAGGCTAGAATGAGAGAAGATGAGAACTTTAAGTCAGGGAGGGTAAGGGCCAGCTTGTTGGTTGAATAGCCCTGAATTCTAAAAAAAAAAAAGCCTAGGAAACTGTGTTCCGTTTATCATTACTGGGAATGTGTGATACCTTTTAGGCTGAGAGTCATCAAAAGCACTTACAATACAAAAACTCATGTATTTAAACAGGGTGTAGCTTTATTTCACTGATTTGGAGTATAGCACCTCAATCACGACAGGCTGGTTTTTATAGGGCTTCAAGATAAAATAAGAATCCTTAAAGTTAAAAGTGTTTTTTGTTTGTTTGTTTTAAAGTCAAAGAACACTTCAAAGATGTAAATCACAGTTTCACTGGTAAATATTAACATCGGGGAATTTCTCCTAAAGCAAAAAATTATTAGTGTGTGCAAAGATTTAGCTATACAGTATTGTTTGCATTACGAAAAAATGGAAATAACCTAAATGCCCAATGGCAGGGGATTAATTGGGTAAATTTTTGTTTATCCTTATGATAGAATGATTGTGTACCCATTACAAATGATATTGAAGAAATAAATTTCATGGCAGGGAAAGATGTGATTATCTGTGAATTAAAACAAAGTTCTTGTTTTAAAGCATTTTTCAGTCTTCTGTTTGCTTTCCCATGATCACTTTGGTCAATTTCTCAGGCTATAAGAGATGCAACTTTCCTCTCCCTAATTTCATTCTGAATTTCCAGCAGCTGTGTCTATCTTTTCCCAGGTTCTGGGGAAAGACACAAGCATTCTTGCTGCACAGAAAATAGACCCCACAATTTTGGAACAATTATATTTTCTGCTGTTCTTACTCAGAAGGTCTTGGTCCCTGTAGCAGGGTCCCACTTCCATCTTAATGACTCTTTTCCCCAACTCCATCCTGTCCCTGTTTCAGGGCCTCAGGGCTTTCCATTTTGCCTAGCTGTGCTCCTTCCTTATAGTTCCTCCTGACTCCTTGCCTCTCCCAGCTCCAGCACCTACTGCTACCTGGGAGAGAGCTCTGACCTATTCCTGCTGGTTTCCTGGGAACCAGGCTTGGTCACACCATCAGTCTCACCATTCAGATTCTGGTGTATCAGAACTGAATTAACCCATTAATTTCCTCGGTGGGAGAGAGGCAACAGAATGAATGACAGGTGGAATGCTGCATCAACGGTCTCTGTATAGCTGCATCATTGCTACTGGGTGCTGCTGTAGAGGGAGTGCTAGGGTGACAGGAGTGACACAACCACCTCAGCCTGGAATTGCAACTTACTTCTGAGTCAGCAGCTTTGGGGAGGTGGAAGGAGGACCCGGGCTGGCTTGGCCACAATTCTACAAGGAAAATAAACACCAGCCAATAAGAGGACACGTTATGAGTCCAAGAGCTAAACTGCTGCCCTTGCCAAGGGTCCTAGGCTTCGCAAACCTCTGGCTAGACCCATGACCTTGGACAGTCCCAAGCAATTCCCCCCACACTGCCCAGAACTGCTCCCTGCCAGAGCCAGGGCCAAGGCTGTGGAGGTGGTAGAAGACAGGAGTGCTAGGAAATACCAAGGCTCTCCCCAACCCTTACCTCAACTCAACCCTACAGGCTCCTGAGAAGCTCTTCTCCTACCTTTCTAAGGCCAGTCAGGGGGCAGTCCTGCGACGCAGATTGAAAAGGGGGAGGGCTATCTCTCCGGTTATTATTAGACCTTGGGGTGGGACCTCGCAAACCTTGCGGCGCAGTGGGCATGGTGCTTTACAAACCTTACTCTGTAAGGTAGGGCTATTGTTTTGTAGTTGAGAAAACTGAAGTCCTAGGAGTCCCTTGGCAGACCACGCCAACAGCGGTCGGGCTGGGATTTCCTCCTTTGGGCAGCTCAGGTAGAACCCCAGGCAAAGTTGTCTTGCCGCTTTCTCCTTCCCGGGCAATTGAGTGCCTGGACGGGGGTCACCCCTCAAGACAGGGGCAGTGTGAGGGCCGACACCCCTGTAGCAAGCTTGAGGAGCCACGCTGATTTCCCGGCTTCAAACTCGGTGTCCACCCTGGAGAAGGCGGCAGATACCCCGGCAAGCCCCTCACCTGCGCTTGGGAGATAGGCGTCTTCACCCCAGCAGAGAGGGGAGAGGACTTGGCCAAAGGGGCTAACAAGCTGAGAGAATCGGGAATGCGGGGAGTAACTGCGGGCTGGGACGTTTAACTTCCGTGGACAGTTTTATCCCGGGCGAGCTGGAGTAGGGGTGGAGTGCGAGCAAGCAAGCTAGGTTCGCGGTCGCGCAGGGGCGACGGCGCCCGACCGGAGGGGGTGGGGAGAAGCAGCCGCCCTGTACTTCCCCTTCACCGCTAGCTGTACAACAGCCTGATTTCCCAGAAATGATGAGGCAGAGCCGGCCAATAGGCGGCCGCACAGCTCTTAGGAGGCGGGGCCGGGGAATCCCGCTAAGTGTTTAGATTTCTCCGCGGCGCCGCTGCCCCCACAGAGCGCGCCACTCATACGCAGAGGTAGGACGTGCATTCGAGCGGAGCAGTGTCGAGTCCAGCCAGAGCCGTGCCAAGCCAAGTCCAGCCCTACCCCGCGGCCCCGCAACCCAGGCATCCTCCGCTTTCTCCCCCTCTCTCCCGGATTGCACTTCTCGCGCCCGCACAGCAGTCCCCGCCTTGCCGGGACCCTCGGGCGCCGTTGCAGGGATCTTGCCAGCTAGAAAGGTGAGCCCGCCTTCGCCGCGGTAAGAACCGGCAGCGTCGAACAAAAAGCGCACTGGGTACCAGGAAGTGGGGACCGAAAACCCGAGCCGAGAGTCTCAGGCGCGCGGCGTTGCCTCGGCCCCAGCGCGGGCTCGGGAGGGCGCTGTAGGGGCAGCGAGCGGCGGCTGCGCGGGGAGGGCGGGCCTCGTCGTGGACCGCCCACCCGGCCGAGGTTGAAGGCGCCCGGCTGCTTTCGCAGATCTGTACGCACAGAGCCGCCCGGGGCATCTGGTGGCAGGGTATGTTCGTCACGCTCATCCACACGCCGTGCGCGGGACTTGAGTGGCTCTTGAGTGCTCCCACTGCAGGCTTTCAGCGGTCCCAACTCCGCGTCCAGAACCCAGGCTTTAGGGTTCCCTGTGCTGGTGGTGGTGCGGGGGGGGCTGGGGATTGGTGCCCTTGATGGGCGGGGGTCGTGACCTGCAGGGATTGCAGGAGGAAGCGCCACAGGTGGTTTCTTGGGCCACTTCGCTTGAGGAGGGAAGTTGAAGGAAGAGGAGAGGAAGCCAGGCCGGAGGGTTAGCGTCCTGTTCTTGGCGCCGTGGGCGCTGTGGCTGTCAGGGAGGCGTAGAATGGATTCTGTCCAAGAGGAAATATCCAGGACACAGGATGACTGCTTGTCCATTAGGGAAGGTGCACAGCTAGTGGTGACGACTCAAGTCGGAAATTTCTTATTGTTATCAGCAAAAGAAGCTCCTACCTTTCCAAAGGATTTGAATTTTGGGGAAAAGTTCTGGCTTTGAGATACCCGCATATTTTACCTCTTATCTGCACGTAAATCCTTTGAAGCTATTACTCACATGCTTGTCTTACTCCCGGAACTGGCTCACAGAGGGTGAGGGAAGGGATAGAAGTATTTTTGCCAAATTGCTGAAACGGTCTATTACAGCGGGTGAGCTCTGGTAGCGTAGTGGTTAAAGCATCCGGCTGCTGCAACCAAAGGGTTTGGCCGTTTGAACCCACCAGCCACTCCCGGTGAGAAAGCGGAGGCAGTCTGCTTCCGTAAAGATTTACAGCCTTGGAAACCCTATGAGGGAGGTCTGCTCTGCCCTAAACGGTCACTATAAGTCGGAATCTACTTGATGGCAGTGGTTTTGTTTGTTTGGTTTTTAATCTCAGGGCAGGTCCCTGGACCTGAAAATTGTAGTACCCAGCTGGAGGGCTCTGAGTCTGTGGGGGGAAGGGAAGGGTAATTGATCTGGGTGGGGCAGGGTACTACCCAGGGGCTGTTGAACAGATTCCAAGCGGGAACTGTCTTCTCTTTACAGCCAACATGCCCATCACTCGGATGCGCATGAGACCCTGGCTAGAGATGCAGATTAATTCCAACCAAATCCCAGGGCTGATCTGGATTAATAAAGTGAGTGTAACTCTTTGGATTTTTCCACCAGTTTTTTAATCCATGTTCTTTGGGGACCAAAGCTTAAGATGCAGCTCAAAAAGGGAAGTGATGAGTGGGCAGGCAAATGTGTTTCCCAGTGGGTCGTGCTTGCAGGAAGAGGTGTGCAAGGTCCAGCCCTGCGCCCCACTTGCCAGGCTGCTTCGTGCCTTCTCTAGGTATAGACAGGGCACCCACCTGAGGGCATTTACTAGTAGCAAGAGTCTCCCAGAATCTGCAGAGCTTGAGTGCTGGCCTCTCCTGAGGGAGATCCCTACACACAGGTTCACACATGCACACATACACATGGCATTTGATGGGGCTCCAGTCTGGGCAGATAGGAGACAGAGAGGTGATCATTGTTTGGCAGGAAGGTGGGGGCCCAAGAATTAACCTTACACTGGTTGCCCTGACGTAAGAAGCCTGTAGCTGATGCACTCAGGCCAGCACAGACCCTGCACACAGCAGTGATAATAGTATTTGCAACACTAGCTAACCATTACTGAACACTGCTAAGTATGTTACTTGCATTATGTCATTTAATCCTTACAATAGTCTTGTAAGGTAGGGCCTATTATTAATATACCATTTTTAGATACAGAAACTGAGGCACTGAGAGGCAGATAATAGATCATACATAAGATGATAAAGCCAAGATTGGAACTTGAACAGTTTGACTCAAAACTCCACACTCTTGACCACTAGTAATGATAACAATGAGACTATAGTCTTTATATTTGTTACGGTGTCCCCATACACGCTCTGATTTTATACTCAAAAGTATTTTTTAAGATCATTTCTCATTTCACAGAAGAAAAAACTGAGGAGTGAAGACAAAGTAACAATGTCAGGGTCACATAGGTAGTCGGCATTCAAGTCTAGTCTAGGGCTCCCTCTGGTACAGCCAGGATCCCCTATTTAGGAGCCAGTTGGCCCAGGTATCCTGAGCTGCCACTTTGAATGGAAGTTATCAACAGTGCCTTTCCATGTTGATGCTGATCAGCCAGACAGAAGCATCCCACAGCTTCTAAACCAGTATTATGGGGAAGGGTGCTCTGTGGCTCCCAGTACACCTATAAAAAGCAGAGGGAGGATTTTGCTGAGCTGATGGTGCCAGCTCTGAGGCTGGAACCCACGCTCCCTCTGAGAGATCCAGAGTAATATAATGGCCTTTTTAAGCCAATTTCAGGATAGGCCAACCCAAGCCAGATGTCGAGGTGAAAAGAGGAAGTCAGCCTTTTCCCAGACCTGGGGGTGCTGGGTGAACTCAGCCCCAGAGGCTTTGGTCTCTTGACGTGGGCTGGCTCTGAACTGATGCAACCTTGTGTGTATGTGCTGTTCAGGAGGAGATGATCTTCCAGATCCCTTGGAAGCATGCCGCCAAGCATGGCTGGGACATCAACAAGGACGCCTGTCTGTTCAGAAGCTGGGCCATTCACACAGGTATGAACACCAGGCTCCAGCCCAGGAGCAGCTGGGGAAGAAATAAAGGGAGGCACTTCTGTAACATAAGGGCTCTTATCTGGGGTCCCTGAGCTCCCTGAGACTGTGCAGAATTGTGTTTGGATGAGTGGGAGCAGAAGACCTGTGGTTCTGGGCAGAGAGGGGGTCCATCATTTCAGTAAATTCTCAGGGACTTAGGAAGTCAATAAAAGAAAGTGTAGTTACAAAAAGTTTGTGATTGAATTAAAGTACAACTGGCAAAAGCAGCTGTGAGCCAGGGCTTACTGACAGAGTTCTAGGCTTTCCTTTTTCTTGGTGTTGACCAGGATCCTTGGTCTGGTTGGTGACTTCCTTTCTTCCTTGAGAGATGGACCCTCTCTTGGTCCATCTCAGACCTATCAATAACTGTTCTTTTTTGCCCACTCTGTGGCCCCTCATGTCTGGAGGTATCAGATAAGGTCCAGTCCCTACCCTGTGGCTGCTGACAGCCCAAGCAGGGAGACTGGGCATGGTTCAGGGTAAAGAAGCACACTTTGAGGATAAGGATTCTGCTAGGGCTTCTGGCTGGGTCCTTCACTGGGTGTTGCTGGATGTGCTTGAGCCAAGCCCATATATTTGAGACGCTTAGGAGCCCGAGGCTTACAGAGTGTCACCAGGAAAACCTGCTGGTTTGACCAGGGTATGTCTCTTGCCTTCCTCTTCCCAGACATCCATGGGCCTGACTGTTCTCTTTGCTCTCTTGCTGTGTAGGCCGATACAAAGCAGGGGAGAAGGAGACGGATCCTAAGACATGGAAAGCCAACTTTCGCTGTGCCATGAACTCGTTGCCAGACATAGAAGAGGTGAAGGACCAGAGCAGGAACAAGGGCAGCTCAGCTGTGCGAGTGTACCGGATGCTCCCACCCCTCACCAAGAACCAGAGGAAAGGTATCCAAGGGCTCTGGGTCTGCAGGAAGCCCTCAGGAAGGGAGGAGAGAGGAAGAGGGGCAGCTGGGGCTGGCATACCTGTCCCATGGCTGACAGCCTGTCTGCCCCACAGAAAGAAAGTCCAAGTCTGGCCGAGATGCTAAGAGCAAAGCCAAGAGGAAGGTAAGTTGGTCCTAAGCAGCTGGGCCTTTTGACCCTGTGGGTCAGGGTGGGTAGTGGAGGAAGTACTGTAGTAGGTCTGGGCCTAAGCTGCTTTCTCCCTCTGTAGTCGTGTGGAGATTCCAGCCCTGATACCTTCTCTGATGGACTCAGCAGCTCCACCCTGCCTGATGACCATAGCAGCTACACAGCTCAGGGCTACTTGGGGCAGGACTTGGAGATGGAGCAAGCAGGTAAGGTGTGCTGAATCCATTTGATACAATGGGGCTGCTGGCAGGGACCCTCAAGTTTGGTGGGATGGTGGCCTGTTAGACTAGACCGCAGGATGGCCTATGCTGGTGCTTACAAACTGTGAAAACACACAGCCCTGACCTGTGGCTTCTGTTGTCTCCCAGCACTGTCACCATGTGGCGTCAGTAGCACTCTCCCCGACTGGCGTATCCCAGTGGAAATTGTGCCTGATAGCACTAGTGACCTGTATAACTTCCAAGTGTCACCCATGCCCTCTACCTCTGAAGGTTTGTGCTCCTGGGGCCTGGCCTGCATGCTTGACTTTGGGTCCTGAGTGGGGTTTCCTGAGGGAGAAAAGATGCTCAGAATTCCCTCTGGCACTGAGCTGATAAATTAGGCATTGCCCATCCTCACAGTTATGGGGATGAGGCAAGCCATAGGGACACCAAGAAGCTGGTTCAGATGGGCTGCAGGGCTGTGGTAGCCTGGGGAGAAGAGAAGGAACCAAGCCAGAGACTTGGTGTAGTGGGGCTGCTGGCTACATATTGGTTGCTGGTTCTCCTGTCTCCTTTACAGCCCAATCTGTGAGGGTGAGGAAGGAAGCAAGAGGGTGGAAAGAGGTGTAGCTTCAGAGTTTGGGAGGCCAGTGTCTTGTTCTGGAATCTGTATGGCAAGCAGACATCTATTGGGAGGCTAGTGTGTGTGTGCACAGGTGAAGGGGCAAGGGGACCTAGTGGGGCTAGAACTATAGGGCTAGTGGCTGATAGCTGCCAACCTCTCTGCTCTTCCCCATCCACAGCTGCAACAGATGAAGATGAGGAGGGAAAACTACCTGAGGACATCATGAAGGTAAAACACCCCTTTCTATCTGGCTATCCTTTTGAAATGGCTCACTTTTAGTGAGGAGAGAGAACCAGTAGGAGCTCCTAATTGGAGAGCATAGCTGCTACTGTGACTTGGCCATGTGCATAGTCCCTTAAGTGCCATGTTCACGGGGCTAGGGACCACTGCCCTCCTTGGCTGGTATGAAAGACTCCCTGGACAGTGAGGGCAGGAAGGAGGCCTGGTCTCTGATAGGCTGTCCTAAAGCATGCCTCAGGGCCACAGTCAGCTCTGTGAGTCAGCCAGCATCAGCGCTAGGTCCCTGGCCCCTGTCCACCGCCCCAACATGCCCCATTCCTGCTAGTTAGGGAAATACACATCAGGTTTCAATAATTAGCCTTTGAGATCTGTTATGTGATGGCATTTTGTTTTTGTAATTTAAAAATTTTTTTCAGTAAATTATCCTGCAGTTTTCTGTTTTTGTTTTCCTCCTGTTTTTAGTTTTATAAGTGAATATAATTCTCATTAACACAGAAAATTGAGACATGGGCATAGTTCTTCATCTCTAGTTTTTCTAGTCATCTTTTCTTATCGTACTGTGCTATGCATTGCTTCAAGCCACATTCCTAGTTGGTGTGTTCTTACACAGTTGAGAGGGCCTGTGTTTCTGCCTCCAGGCCCTTGTCCTAACTGCACCTCAGATCTGCAGCCATCTGCGCATGTGAAAATGGTCAAGGGTGTGATCTTGGCTAGAAAGCTTTGGTTTAGGGAAGGCAGGGGGGCCAGTGCAGGGTGAGTATGCATTAGAAGTGAGCTGATGGCTTCTTACTCCTGCCCCTAGCTCTTGGAGCAGTCAGAGTGGCAGCAGACAAGTGTGGATGGGAAGGGGTACCTGCTCAATGAGCCCGGGGTCCAGCCCACCTCTGTCTATGGAGACTTCAGCTGCAAGGAGGAGCCTGAAGTTGACAGCGCTGGGGGTAAGAAGGCCCTGGGTCCACATGGCTTCTTGAAGACCAGAGAACAGTGCAGGGGTGGGGAAGGCTTGAGGGTAAGGCCAGGGAGCAGTAGAGTTCAAGCATACTACTTAAAACTCATCTGGGGCACAGACAGCTTGAGACTTACATATTGCTTCCATACCCTACCTTAAAAATGAGTGGATGCTTGCTGCTGTGGGGCAGACAGCAGAGGGCTGTGTCTGTGGCCTTTGGGGAAAGGGTGGGGGAGTGGGAGGCACACCATCTGCCCTCATCCATCCACCCCCACCTCATACAACCTTCCTCATATCTTCCAGGGGACGTTGGGCTGAGCCTACACCGCGTCTTCACAGATTTGAAGAACATGGACTCTACCTGGTTGGACAGCCTGCTGCCCCCAGTCAGGGTGCCCTCCATCCAGGCCATTCCTTGTGCACCATAACTGGCTCGCATCATGGTGGCTGTGGTAGAGAAGCAGGACTCCTATGGGCCCCGTTGACGTGGGAAAGTGTGACCCCACTGTCTGGCGGAGATGGGTTCTCCCTCCTTGGGTCAGCAGGCCTCTCAGGGCCTGGCTGGCCAGGGCCTGGGCTCACCTTTTGGGGTAAAGCTGGACATACCTCCCAGGATAATGGGGTTCTGAGATTGGTGTGTCAAGTGGAGGATTCAGACAGGAGTCAGCCCCTAGCTTTTCCCTCTGAGCCCAGCTGCTAGAGGGGATCTTCTTGTCACTGAGCTGGCCTGAGGGGCACAGACCAGTGACCTCAGAAAAGCATAGTACCAACCCCAGGGCTGGTTTTGCACTAAGAGACAATTGCACTAAGTGACTCCTGTTCCCAAAGACCTGCCTCCTTTCCCAGCTGAGCCCTGGGGACTGTTCCAAAGCCAGTGAAATGTGAAGGAAAAATGGAGTCCTCAGGACAGTGCTTCCTTAGCCTCCGAGAAGTTCTGCCCTGCTCACTCCTCAGGCTGAGGGGCTTGGGAAAAAAACATGGCACTTTTTCTTGTGGACCTTGCCACATTTCTCATCAGAGGTGTACACTAATGTTTCCCCAAGCTCTTGGCCTTTGCATTTATTTATACAGTGCCTTGCCCTGTGCCCACCCTGCCCCCTCAGGCCCCCCAGCCCTCAGCAGGCCCAGGGAGGGAAATGGGAGCACCTTCGGGTGACTGAAAATTGGGAACACCATCTAACCACTAAGTCACGTGTGACCACATGTATATGTGTGTAAATATGTACATTTGTCTTTTTATAAAAAGTATAATTGTGTACAAGGGGTGTGACCTTTTATTTTATCTAGAGAGAAATTATAGATGATTTTACTTTTTATGGAAATGGAGACATTTTGGAGGTGAGCAGTGATAACCCACCCATCACAGAATCCTTTCAGTTATGTTCATGGAGAAGATGGCAGGCAGAGGGGGCAGTCATGGCACAGGGACAGGCTCTTGTAAACATAGTCACATGGCCTTGACCAGGTAGCCATGGCTATGAGTTGAATTTGAGCTCCTGGGGCCTGGGGAGATGGACAGTTTTAAAATTTTGAGTTCCTAGAGATGTACTGTATGTCCTGCTAAACTCTAATGCAAGGGAACTTAGATGCTACTTCAAAAAAATTAACAGTTGGTGTAGCACAGTCATGGACAGTCAGAACAGATACCTGCCCAAAAAAGGGTCCTCAAGGTCTGCTCTGCCAGGCAATACTTGCTGCTCTCCAGTTTCTGCATCGATGGAAATGTTCTGTATCTGGGCTGTCCAATACGCTAGGCACAGACCACAAGTTGCAATTGAGCACTTTGAAGTTTTAATTAAGTGGCTGCCTTAGTGGACAGCACAGGTAGATACTGAACTAGGGGTATGAGTGGGCGGGGCTTGGAACTTCCTGCCAGTTCAAGAGTATTTTACTATTTAAACAGCCAAAACTAAACTGTTGGTAAAACAGGTTCATGCATAAATGCATTAGGAAAACCTTGGGTGAGCTTATGAAAAGAGGTTTCTTTCCTTTGTCTTTTCAGTGTCCTAGCTGAGCTAATGCATATAAATCTCTATGAAGGGCTATATTTGATCAGAACAGTGTTCCTAAAGATGGCAGTTTTGGAACCACTGACATGCCTCCTTCCTGTAAGGAGGTCAGGGTGGGAGGTCTCGGTATGGAATTTTTTTTCCCACTTTACTCCCCAGACTCACCCTGGGGCAGTAACAGTACCCAGCAGTAGCCTGGCCTGCCAAAGGAAGCCACTGGCATCACCACCCTCATCTAGGGAGTGGGGCTATGGCAGTAATGGGATTGCTTAGGAAAACCACACCCTGTGGGCACATCTTCCTTAGTCTCAAGTTCCAGAAACCATACAGACTGTACCCCCGTCACTGGATCCAGCCCTCTGGGGGAATATGGGCCTCTGATGAGGGATAGGGAAGGCCAACTGGGAAAATGATGAGAAAACTGAAAAATGTGTAAAGGTCAGTCTGACACTTCTGCCAAACTGAGGCACTTGAACTTGTTCCTTCAACACATACTTAGCCCAGCTGAATGGCCAAGTGGATTCCTACTGACTGGTTATTCTGCATAGGCCCCATCTCAGTTGCTATACATCAGAGAATACTGGGCTCACCTTTTGGGGTAAAGCTGGACATATCTGTATTCAAGAGTAGCCTCACCTGGGGACAGGGCCCAGCCCTCACTGGGAAGAATTGGATTGGGGTGGCTAGCCTCCTGTGCCTCTCCATATGGGAGCTTGCCAAGGTCTAGTAGTGTGTGGCTCTTCCAGCTAATGATGCTGGGAGTGGTAGGAAGCCAGTTGAGTGGACTGAGAAGTGATGAGAGTGAAGGGATGCAACCCAGAATAAATTTCAAGGATTGCTTCTGACTTCTCTCTTTTCCTTCAACCCACAATCTATGACTGAGAGTGGTGAGTGGGTATGGTGAAGTCCCACATAGCTGCAGAAATCAAGTTATAATTCACAAAGTTGGCATTTGTAAGTTACTAAATTCTGAGCAGACTTAGTTCCAACAGATCCCAATCTTCAGAACCAAGATGGAGTCCTAATTTCCTACAGTTCTGATCACAGGAACTCTAAACAATTGGCATAAAGTCCTTGCAATGTCCAAGGAGAGCCCCAAACTATAACCCCCATCATAAGGGATCTGGGTGCTAGGGACCAAATCTGGAGGAGTAGTGTGGGATAGAGCTAGACCTAGCCCTTGCCTGAGAGGACAGACAGTAAGGTCCAGTTGCCCCCACCACCACCACCACATGCACACATATACAAAGAGTGGTGACAGCTGATACTCAGCCAAACTGCCTGAAATGGAGCAACACGAGTGTAGTCTGAACCAAATTTGGGCCTAAAAATTTAAGGTCATTCTGATAACCTGCCAATGCTTCTGTGGGCCATTTCCAAGATTTTCAGTCTAAGCACTAATGGTGGAAGCTCTTGGTTGAGGCAGCTAGGAGGTCATTGAAAGGTCTGTTAGGGTGGCAATTACATCACTGTCATCAAGGACCATTTTCCAATGATACAAACTGGCAAAGTGCTTAGCTGCACAAGCTAGAACTCCTATGTTGGGCCAAGATTATAGATGTTCAAGGGCATTTCTGGTTAGTCACAGGGTTTCTTTGCCTTACTCCAAAGATGTCACTTTAATTAGGCTGGTTTATTCATTCAGTTCACTTGGCAACAGGAAGAGAGCTAGAAGCTAACATGCTAGTTGCCCATACAGCTACTCATGGAGGCAGGAGATCTTTAGGGATGACGTGCAGACCATCCCTTCTTGATCTATCAACTTTCAACATTTCTAAGCTGTGTGCAGGATGACTCCAAAGATAAGAGCTTTCTCAGATTCCTCTGGAAGTCTCTAGTGGGGCCAGCCAAGGACAGAACTGAAATCCTGGGAAAAGCTCTGGGTCTGGTTAGAGGTACAGCTCTTTTCTCTGGGAATAATGCCCCTTGGCTGGTGAGGCTGGGTCACGTCCAGGCTGTCATTTCTTGGGACCATTTGGGCTTCTTTTACACTGTAGGCACAGATCCAGAAATAACCTCTTGTATTAGTTCCTCCAGGCAGCCTTGTTGGAGCACCCAGGACTAATATGATGACCTGCAAGAGATTTTGGCTCTGTCAGATGTAATGCTATTTCTTAACTTGGGCACACCTGATCGATCTCCATTGTGAGGATGTGTGAAATTCTTCCAGACTGAGCACTAACCTTTCTCTACTGCCAGCTGGCTTATCACAGAGGCAGGAGGCCTGGAGAGCTAGAGTGAGGAGCTAGTGTGCTTCCATTTTGACAGATGAAAGTACCTGGTAGGGAAGGACTTGGCCTTGTCAGGGCTCCCTTCTGGGGCCATGTCTAAGGGCATATCTGGCTGAGCACGTGGTTTTCCTAGCTCCACGCAGCTCCTAAGAGACCCATTTCTGCTGATCTGGGGGTGAGGAGGGACAGTTGCACAAGAAGTCCCCTCTTCTCCCAGAACCAGGGTGAGGCAGGTCTAGAGAGTCTATTCTAAGAAGTTAATCTTAACTGGGGAGATACTGGAGGCAATGGGGCAAGGGGATGAGGACTGAGTAAAAGAAGAGAGACAGACTGCCATCCTTCACCAAAGGAAATGACACTCACAAGCTCAGAAATGAGCAGAACTGGAAAAGACTTCAAAGTCCAGCTGGATAATGGTGACATATCCCTTGAATGCTCACTTTGTGCCAGGTGCTATACTAAATATGCCATCTCATGGTGCCCCACCACAGCCCCATGTTCGTGGACCAGGACCAAAGCTCAACGAACATAAGGGGCTTGGCCAAAATGACTCAGCTAATCAGTATGGGGTCTGGATTCTAACTTAACATCTGTCCATGCCCCGACCCAGGCTGGTTCCACAATACCAAGTTGCCTGCAGAGGAGGAAACAGGTTTGAGGAGGTGGAAGTTTAGGAGAGCTTGCCAGGGAAAGGCACTAGCACCCTGTGCCAAGAAAGCATTTGACAACATCCAGGGAAGGCAGCAGAAAACTGCAGCTGCTCTGGACATGGCACAGGACCCATCCCCTGCCTTTAGCTCCCCTGCCTGGTTCCTGCTACCCCAGGCAACATGGTTCTGCCACTACCAGCCCTAGGGCCCCAACAGGGTGGAATTTGGCTTTTTCCTCAAGGAGAGCAATTCCCTACCTGTGCCCTGGGGCCACCTGCAGTTTCAAGGGGTGGGGTTCCAGAGGGCTGAGGCACAGACAGGCCTGTAACTTGGCCTCAGTGCAGGGGGCAGCTCAGTTGCAAGAGCCTGCTTGCAAATCTGCTCCCAGCTCCAGGGGACTCTAGCATGCCAGGCCTAGGACTTGTCAGCCATGTTTCTGTCTGAGCAAGGGTACTGGGGCATTCCTATTCTCTCGCTCTAAACCAGGCCCTTTGTTGGGTTCTGGGGTCCTTCAGAAGTTTGGACTCTTGGTGACTGT